CATTAAAAAATGTGATATGACCCATTTTATTTTGTCTTTAATTCTAGTTCAAGGTTTAAAGAGAGGGATTAATTTAGGATTAAAGACAAAATAAAATGGGTCATATCATATTTTTTAATGGGTCGGGTTAGGTGGGTGGATCACTAAATGATTTAATTTATTTTTAAAAAATTTTGGTTTGTTATATAAATAATTAATATCGACAATTTTTAATTAAAAAATAATTTAATAGATTGAGTGATTTTTTGAGGAAAGAGTGGATAGTTGAGTGATTTTTTGAGGAAAGAGTGGATAGTTGAGTGCCTTTTGAGTTAAAATTCAACGTTGGGTGACTTTCTGTGAGAAGAGTGCATAGTTGAGTGACCATCTGAGGTATTAACTCTACATTGTGCTTGGTCTATATTTCAAAAGTCCATCTAAGAAAATAACCCTTATTCTTTAAGCTTCTAAGAGGATTAAGGAGTTTAGGGATGACAATATATTGAACGGGGCGGAGTAATTTAAAGAGCGAATCAATCTCTAATTGGGTGTGGAAAATTATATAAACACGAGTCTCCTTCCATATTTGTTAATATAGTATTACAATCTATATTTAAGCAACTCTACTAGATAATTAGCGTTGCAATAGAGAACATTCAAAAGCAGTGGGAGAGCTACTAGGCTGTCCTTCATCAGAAAATTACACGATATATATTAGTAAAATAATATTATAGATTATTAAATAAAAATTTTTGGACACCTTAAAATTACACAAAAGTGCTGTAGTTTAGTTGGATTCTGGAATGTGGAGGCGTGCATTCGACTCCCCTAATTAACGCCTAAATCATAATTAATAGATTTTTTATTTTAAAAATAATTCAAAAAATAATATTATCAAGTAAATTAATTAAGAGAAATTTTTAAAAAGGTTCCTAATTAACGCCTAAATTATAATTAATAAATCTTTTATTTTTAAAATAATTCAAAAATTAATATTATCTATTAAATTAATTAAGAGAAAAAAGTTGAATATTATCTATTAAATTAATTAGGAGAAAAAAGTTGAATATTATCTATTATTTTATTTTTAAAATAATACACTATCTTTTTGCATTTTAAAGAGGTTCGCAATTAATGCCTAAATAATAATTAATAGATCTTTTATTTTAAAAATAATTCAAAAAATAATACTATCAATTAAATTAATTAAGAGATATTTTTAAAAAGGTTCCTAATTAGCACCTAAATCATAATTAATAGATTTTTTATTTTAAAAATAATTCAAAAACTAATATTATCTATTAAATTAATTAAGAGAAAAAAGTTGAATATTATCTATGAAATTAATTAAGAGAAAAAAGTTGTTGCCAATTGATTTTACTTTGATTTTTTTTTGTTTTTCTTAAAAATTTAAACAAAATCCAAAAGTAATTATTTAATTTAAATTTAATAATCAAATCCTATTCATTTTATTTTTTCTATAAAGCTACTAAAAGTGATAAAGGCTCCATATAAAATTTCTTTTAATAACACTCGTTTAATTTTACTTTTTATTTTTTCATGTTTCATTGTTACTCATCAGCGGTGCGTGAAATTTTAAAGCAAAAAAGAGATTCATTCTAAATTAAATTCGCTTTGTTTTTTTCTTTGTCCATTCACATCTTATTAAATAAACATGAATATTAAAACTAAATATTATGCAGTTGATTATATATTTTTTTGTATATTATTTTTATTAAAAAAATAAATCATTAATGTCACGTAGTTTGATTTACAAATGCTTAGTGCACTCATTCATTAAATATTTTTATTTACCTATTCAATTTTTGAACACCCTTCGTGAATTTTCTGGCTGCGCAACCATTTAAATATATATCTACATGAGATGTCTCATGCAGAAATAATATGTTCAATCATAGATTAATAAAAGAAACTATAAAATATCATGTTCTATAAAATAAAGAAAATTGAAAGAAATGACCCATCACTACAAGCGGAAGACTAACTTGAGAATACATAAACATCAAATTGTAAGAAACGTTTAAAAACGATATACTGAATCTCAAAACTATCTCCAATCCCAACGCGTGTTGATAATTTTTTAATGATAGTGTCACGTAGGCCGAAAGGGGCAAAAATTACGTATAAAATAAGTTTAGAAGAAAATATGACTTAAGTATACTATAAGTGTGTTTATGAGATTTTTGACATAGGTTGGGGTACTTATGCATTTTTCCAATATACTTTGTATGAAACATAAGTTTAAATAAAATAACAGAAAACTAAAAGACTCTCCAAAACTGTCTATTTAAGAACATATGTCGAGACAAGACCCAAGACACCTCAAAACTACTAATGAATTGTGAAGTCCCTCTGGAATACAAAGAGGTTCACCAAAGCTAACTGGAGTGTAGAGTGATCTCAATGAAGTGCTTGTTGATAATTATGAACACCTATATTTACATCATAAAAGGATGCACGTCAAATGACATCAGTACATTGAATATATGAGTATGTAATATAGTTGGATAACAAAAAAACAAATGAAAGGACTACAATAGATAACAATGTACTCAAGCTGAACGTAAAGAAATAAAAGAGTTAAATCATTTAAAACTTTACAAATACTTTCTCATCTTTGAACTCAAAATAATAAGTGATATATAAAAGTACAATTTAACTTTAATGGAAGATTATTTAACCAAAAATCATCACTATGAGCAACGTGATGATACAACGTCTCACCCATGTTGCCGGAATTGTCCTATTCCTTGTCGGGATATAGAATTCCTCAACTAAGTGGATCCACTAAGCTATGCTTAAAAATTAATAAGAAATCATCTAAAAGTATGATCATTTTGTCACGACCCAGATCGGTGTGATTGACACCCACACTAACCCTCTGGTGAGAGAAATATTACTACAACCCAATTAAGTAACTTAACAAACAAACAAAACATTTGAAGATACGGAATCATGTTTAAATGATAGTATAACATGGAGTTTCAATGAACTCCGAAAGCTTAAATGAATATCAAAACATAACTATTACGGAAATTCAACCCCTAGCCTGAAGGTAAATGTATCAGAATTCTGCTAACGACAAGTCTGAGAAAGAGGGTTGTAACCCCGAAACTAACACAAATAAGTCTAACTATAAAGTTTGAGTCCGAAATTAATGGACAATAAAATAGAGGACCCATGGGAGCCTGTAAGAATCGGATCACCCTTAAATCCGGTCTCGATTAGTGATTTACTAACCGAGTTATGTCAGTAGCCACATGAAGATGCCATGTACTCAACAAAAAAATAAGCAACTGCAATATCAATACACAACCACAGTGTAATGATCGGATCACACGATCACTCCAGTAAGCACAATATGCATAAGTAATTACAACATAGTCAACATACATATACGAAAAGCACAATTCAATCATCATTTTAGAGAAACATACAATCTATAATATCAATGAAATATAGATATAAACATTATAATCACAAGTGGTTCTCTCATGAAATTCATACCCAAACTATTAGTGTGTCGGAACGTGACACAAAGTTCAATATATGTGTCTAAACGTGACACCAATCCAATGCATTTATCGAAACATGACACCTGATTCAATCAGCACAACCAACCACAATCACAAACACACTATAATGCATAGTACATATATTCACCTGTTCAAGTAGTGAGTTCATTGCATTTAGTTGTTCACACATAATCATTTTATTAGGTTCGATTCACTGTCCCGCCACAGCGGTGTCCAACCCACCGCAGCATCCTGGCCACGGCGTCTTGCACGGAGACAAGCTCAGAATTTGGGTTCCAAGCTCTCATTTCACGATACACCTTCAACCCTTGACACTCAGAAACTACCCTTTCACGCAAAGATCAATTTCGGGAGTTCTACTCGTCCGAATTCGATTCTGTAAAGTCGTACA